CTTACGAACTTCACTCGTGGACAACCTTCACATAGAATCTGACGAACCTCCAGTACACCTATAGTTCGAAAAATTAAACCCACAATACTCATTAAAACTTCAAAGTAACCCAAGAATCGTGGCACATGAAAGAAGTACTCACGCAAATAAACAAATGCCCCAAATCAGCTCCTCCTTAACATTAACATTTCACTTCCATGGATACTTGACAAACCTCAAATAGATCTAAAACGAACTCAACAAAAACATTACAAATAACATCATAAATATAAGCAAGTTTGTAGAGGTAAAACACAAATATCGTTAATATAAAGCCGTATATACAGATGGCTCTAAAATTTCCAAAGAAAATGCGAGCAGCAGCCATGGACATGCAGTCTCACAAACAGATTAGGCTATCAAATTAAGCTTCCATATTTACAACAGAGCTACAGGCCTTTAAGATAGTACTTGAACTCTTTAAAAACAATCAAACAACCGGCAACTCAGCATTATTCATAGACTCTCTGCCAAGACTTGTAGCTCTGAGAGAAGGAAAGTCCAAACATCTATACAGCTTAGACATACCAAAAACCAATTCTGAAATAGGTCACAAAAACCTGTCATTCTAGCATGGATTCCAAATCATGTTAGTATACCGGGCATGCATGACATAGCAGACGAACTAGCTAAAGACGCACTACACCAACATAATGATACCCCATCTAGACCTCAGAAACAAAATAAGAGAACATACCATGAGAAAGTGGTAAGCAATATGGAACTCAAAACCTAAAAAACTATACGATATTCAACTATCTATAGGAGAATGGCTCCTGGGTTTCAGGAAAATAAAACTGGAGGAAAGTTTTATCTAAACTCCAAATTCACATCTACTAAAAAACAAAACTTCTCCATTATGCAAAAGATGTCAAGTATCTCTCAAAATCGAACATATACTCATAAGTTGCCATCATCTCAGTCAAACCCAAACAAAATATCAACAATCAAACAATACAAAAGAACTCTTTCAAAACACTAAACCAAACATCGCCCTTAACTTTTTAAAGGAAATCAAACTGTATAAAACACTCAACAAGACTAAATCCTTTAATATATTTTGAAAACAAAAAAACTGAAAAAATTCTTTAGGTTTCATAAAAATCCCCACTAACAAAAAAACGAAACAAACCTTTGAATGTTAAGGAAACGGATCATTCCATATTTACTTAAATTTTATCATTCCAAAACACTTTTCAATTAATCCTTTTAATGAATTTTTGGCTAATAACTATTTCGGTGAATTAAGATGAGCGACAGTAATTATTCCATTCAGTACTACATTGGTTTGTAAGTTGCTTTACCATAAACAGTTGGGCATATATTCTAGGGACTGGTACACTGTACCTTTCTAATTAATGAGTGGGAGCTTTTGTTTTTTGTTTTTTTAATCTGAAAGATGATGCAGCCAATGTGCTTGGGGACAACTACAATTAGCCTTTAGACGAAGCAGACTGGTTTAATCGCCATGAAAGTATTTCTAACTGTGCCCAAACCTGCAAGATTATGTATTTTTTCTATCAAAACCTGTCAGTATATCACTCAAATTTGGATGTGATGCATGTATTTGATATACCCTTATCAGACTGGGTGTCATGAGAGGTATATTAGGCTTCGTACATTTGTACCCCAGCGTCACATTTGTTGGTGTGCTGCTCTCTCACGCAACAATATAATAATACTGACAATAATAATGAAACTGTCAAAATAAAATCATCAAACCGCTAAGCGGGAAAGAACAGTAAAAATATCTTTGAAGAAGATTAAAAGAAATGTAACGAAAGAATATATCGAGGATGTTGGAAACGAAATTCTACAAACTTTTAGCAAATGTATAAAGAACTAAACAGTATTTATAGAAAAATATTTGGTGCCCTTCCTAAACTGGAAAAAAGAAGAAATGATAACTTTGGATCAGAGAGAACAACAACAAAAAAAAAATTAATGATCACAAATACAAGAGTTTCTGAAAGGTTCTCAGTCCGACCAACTTCACAAAATCTAACCAAAGCATTAGATTAAAAAAAATACCTTCTTGATCGGACTCAGAACTTTCATCAGCCGCCTCGTAAGGCCTTTCATCTGAAATTGATAGATTTTATATAATCAGCATTGAAGATTGTGCCTACTCAACTAATGTTGGATTTGAATATTGTACAAAAGAGATTGAGAAATTGATTATCACCACTGGAAATTGAAGAGAAACCGACAGAATTTTTTTATACACCAAAAATCTTATAAGAAGCTGAAAATGGGTAAAAAAACAAATTCATCGAGATTTCAAAGGAAATTGCAAGAAAACAGGCGTGTTTGCGCAGAGGATATTTGAAAATAGAAACTAAATCTGTATTAATAGCATCCCTGAACGAAATACATTAGAACATTAGAACCAATTATATTAAGACTGAAATAAGGAAGATACACCAGATAATAAATAGAGAAACAAAATTGAAATCATTAATCATATAATAATCTAACGAAGGTAGGGGTACTTATTTTCCATATCTGTAGTATGTAACAGTCTCCCGGTGATGCCAGAATAGACTTTGCGTTCAATGTCACACCAGACCATAAAAGAAGCCAAATTCAGGGTTGACCTGAAGGAATGGCGTCCTAGCTGGGGATGGAGATCCGCGCTTCACCCGATGTCAGTCGCTGCTCCGATATGTGAACACGTGATCGATTCAGATGCACCCGGGTTGTGTACGTGAAGGAAATAACCGTAGGATAGATAGATACATAATCACTCACCCCGGAGAAGACAAAATGTAGAGTACTCTTTTGGGAAGGGCATCGGAGATGCACACACATAGGCCAATAGCGATTGACGAAGTCTGAAGTGAAATAAACTTCAATGTTACATATGAGAGATTTAGTTTCGTGTCTTCATTGGTCAATGTACGGCAATAATACCACACCTCTACGGATGTACGACACAATCTCTATTTGCTTAGTTAAAATTGCAGATAAGTTGTACTCTGTCCTATTTGTCTGAGGAGAAGGTGCTCTCTGAAAAACGGATCCTTAGTCGCCAATTTATCACTCATTATTTTGTTGTTTGTCCGAAGGCAGATAAATGCACGTCTGTAAAGAACCAGTTTAGCTGACACATTTATCATCTATTCATCGACGACAACGACGACAACAACAACATGATTGTCATGCCAATATTTCAGGGTTGTCTACCGTAGCATGTTCGTTTCACGGACCAGTTCATAAGTGTAGGGAGTTTGATCCTCACTTCTGGTGTTTTCTACGTGGTTAATAACCTCTGTGTTGCATTTGCACCACTACTTCAGTGTACACTGATATTCTAGCACCTTTCGTAGGATATTTTCAGACCCAACGCAAACTTCTGAAGCGATGGGATACTAGGCTTTCTTTATTCAATAATTGGGTCTATAGTGACCTGAACATCCCACATTATTTTAATAGTTTTATACTGATGGTTTTCGCACCAATACTATTTAGAGATATCGAATAACAGCAAGTCTTTTCAATAGGTCATCACTCTCGTTGTTTTTAATACAATCCACTGATCTAATAACTCTTCTGTTTGTTTTGAATGACTAAATCAGATTTCTCGTTCTTGTTGATCTGTTTAAATTTCAAAATCTTGAATGATTTTATTTTTATTTGTTCTATTTCTATGAAAGCTCCTGAATTATTCTATTGGTCAGTATATTTGAATCTCAATTTTATCCTTATATTTTGCATTCACTGAATTTTCACCCGAGTAGTATCTGATAATGTTCATTGGAGATTTAGTGACATCAAGTCTCTCCAATATTTTAATACCGTCCTTTGTTTTATTTTTATATTATTCATTGCAGATAGTGTTGCTATAATTCCGATATACAACGTACATTTGTTTTACCTGCCCAAATCTAAATCTGACTAACGGTAAGAAAAAGGCTGATAATTATAAAAGAAAAAAATAGGTCGAAATCGTTAGGATACATTGTAATCGAGTAGATAAGTAAAAAATGTTGCCCTTCATAACGGTAATGTCGCATGGCTCGTGGTTTCCAAAGACAATGAACGACTTCTATCCGTCGGAGAAGATAAGCAAAGAAAAACCGAAAGTAATTCTTACCGTTATTTCATTTAGATGAAACCTTTGTCCTTTTTAACTATAATGATATATATGTTGCTGAATAGAAAGTCCCATATATTTATATTTATTTTTAACTCAACTGTGTTTTGATTACAAAAAAATCATCTTTCTTTAATTTCAACAACTTAAGATGAATGTTTTTTTAAACAAATCGTTACATAATAGATTTTCTACATTACTTCAATGCAAAGAGGGACTGGAAACTTAATGGAAAATCGCTTAAAAACTAACGTCAAACAAAATCATAATTCTGGTTCAAATTACGAGACAAAAAATATATATATAACACTGTCTTTTCTCACATGCGGGGGAAGATTTCTGTGCCTAGGTTTCCACGATACAAATTGAATATGGTTTTCTGACTTCAGCATTATGATTGGGCTGGCGACTATCCAGTTAAGTTTATGAAAACGATCCTTGTTATCAAATTCCTACTACTGAAAGAAAACTAAACGCTAACTCAAAATGTGTCTCCTTTGGGAAATGGATCTTTTATTTTTATAAGTTTTTTTACAAAGAAAAATTTTTTTTGCATGAATCATTGTGGTGTGGAATAATGAAAGCAGATTCCACACAAAAATTTAAATATTCCAATTTAAAGTCAGTACCCTGATGTATATCCGTGCATACATTTATACAAGTGTACACACGTGTGTGTGTGTGTGCATATATATATATATATATATACACATACATATATACATATATATACACACACACAAATTACTCTACTGAAATGTGTATTTGTAATACTGCTCTCAATATTCTTCAGAAGATCTTAATAGTTAAAGGATAGTTTTCTTGTACACTATTGAGTTTAGGTTTATAAATGTAATTTTCTTACCTGGCCAAACCTTTGATCCCACTTGCTCCTCGAGAAAGACATTGTAGTCGAAGTCGTTCGAGTGGATCTGAAGTCCCTTTTAATTTTTGAGAAGCTTTCGCCATCATTTCTCGTTCACCTCGAGTTGTTGCTGCCATTTCTTTTAAAAAATGGTTGTTTTGATAGACAATGTGTGTGACACAAATGAAGTTTCTACTGGTAAAAGAACAAAAGCAAAATGTCGGGATGATAGAGAGAATGGGAGGGAGACGAACAAATAAATGAACGTTTGGGAAAAGAGAAGTCTACCTCACTCGCCTCACCTTTGTTTTGCGGTTGTCTATAACAACGGTAAAGAAAGATAACAAACAAGACATACAAACGGATTAATCAGAGTTATTCCCCCTTCTCTTGAATTACACTTTTGTAAAGATTTTTTTCTTTTTTTATAAATTTGTTAATTTCCTTGTTGCTAGTTATCTAACAGATTTCTTTGTACTTCTAAATTGTGATGAGAATAGCAATATTTGGATCGAATGTATTATTAGATAGTAACAGCAATACTAGTGATTAAATATTTATGTTATGTTGTAACTTAATTGCATTTTGAGCTGATCTAAATTTTTCATGAAATGTCGATTTTATCAGTAATTTAATTTTTATTTTATAAAAATGTGACAATTAAACATTACTGGTGTTAGTAATATTTTGATTTTTATTAAATGAAATATAACTATTTTTGATTTTAACTAGTATTTCTTTCAGCAAAACTTTAGTTGATTTTCATTGCAATTGATCAGACCAGTTCTCTGTAGCCATTACATAAGAAAATACTTTTTAATTGAATACTAATCAAAATTAATAATGGTTGACAATACTTTATGAAAGCATTATGACAATACTGCTGCTACTAATAGTACTAGAGTAAAACAAACAGAACAAATGAGGTCATGTGATGAAGAATGATTTTAAATATTAAATAATTTGCAAAGCCATTGTGTTCTTATAGCTCAGTCAGTAAGAGTAGCTGGTACATTTAATTATGCTTTGCTGAGGCAAAAAGAACATGTCTCGTCAAGAGTTTATCTTCTATTTTTGAGTCACAGACAAATTAACAGTGAAATTGAGATAAAAAGTAACTAAAAGACTGAAATAAAAGTAAATATTAGTTTTAGTAATGGTTGACAATACTTTATCTAATAAAAATAAAAAAAAATTTAAAACTGTTTTCAAATTACAGATAAAAATTAGAAGTTTTGATTTTTATTATCAACACATGCTTGTTCTATTTTATCTAAAGTTTTCTAATGTCAAAAGTTAGTCAGTTTTAGCTTTAACATGTTTAAGTTAATTTATTATTTTGTTACAAAAGGAGTTCCGCTTTCCCCACCTGTGGTCATTGTTGTATACCTGGACATGCAAACTAGCATAAACTCATAGAGAAAATGACATAATCAAGATTAAAATCACAGTATTTCAAACAAAAGTTTAGGAAGGAAGCTGCCACACATCTATACTGTAAAGCTAAACAGCTAGTGAACTTGAGTAATCTATTTTCCTGAAAAACTGTTTTTAGAAAGATTTGATAAATTTCAACTGATGGTAACACTGGCTGTTTGGTTAATGAATGCTAAGTCTTTCCTTAGAAGGAAAGAACTAATATCACCATTACCATAATGAGGAATGACAAAAGAAGGAGTTTTATATGAATTCCAACTGAGGCTCTATATTTACATTGTAACAACACATTTGATAAAAAAGGCATGAATGAAATTCTCCATGACAAGATGTTTCATCACTGTGATGTCATTTGACAGAGAAAAGAGTGGATAGGTGAGCACATCACTCTTACTTGCCCAAGCAATAGCAGTAAAACCATTTTCTCCTCTAGCCAGAGTTCAGGTATCCTCCCCATCACTTTCATATACCTGGCATGCTTTTAGACCATTTTTATCATTTTATGGCAAAATAATTTTTATGATTTCAAAAATATAAGCAGATACAAAAAAAAAAAAATAAAATAAAAAAAGTGTTTTATGTCTTTATTGTTTTAAATCAACCTGACTTGTCAATTTTAATGTTTCCACAAAAAAAAACAAAAACAAAAAAACAAGACAGAAAGTAGAACTGAATCAGTCTCCATAATAGAAGTCCCCATTCATTACCGTTTTCCTGATTTTTTCAATCCACCAACACCTGAAATAAAAACATGCAAAATTCAGAAGTGTTTTGTATTACTTTTATTTTTAAATCAGAGTTTCTGCAATGTGTGCATAGTAAGTACTTACTTCCATTTACATTTAAATTAAATTCATGTAAATTCCATTAACTGAGCAAATAATAAAATTAGATTTGATACATTCAGAATTGTTAATATTTATCTAAACATTAATTTAAAGCTACATTTCTTTTAGTTTAGGAATCAATGTCTCTGTAAGTCTAACAATATTTTAATCAACTTGTATTCATAATTTAAATTAGACCTTTTCCTTCATATTATTTACATTATTCAGACTATTGTCCTCATCTTTGTTACCATATTTATCATGTTTTGGCCATTGTACACTCCGGCCTTCTTCAGGTGTTTGGAATGTTGAAGTGAAACTTTTATTTCACTCACTGGGGTAGACTATTCTAGTTCCAAGTCTAATGGATGTCAGTTATCTCCTGTTAATTTCCCTCTCCAAGTTCTCCATGTAAATAGTGTACATAATACCTAATCTCAGAAATATATATATATATATATAAACATATATAAACACATTATATATATATATATATATATATATATATATAAATATATATAAACACACACATATATATATATATATAAAACACATATATAACATATATATATAAACATATATATATAAATATATATATATATATAAACATATATATATATATATATATATATATATATATATATATATATATATATATATATATATATATATATATAAATATATATATATATAATATATATATATATATACACACACAATGTGTGCTTATATGTGTAAAATTAAAGTGATCTAGATATATTTATCTCTTTAGATGTCTGCTCTGTTTATCTAGATCAATCCACTCATATTTCTCTATCTACCTAGATATTAAGTTCATGAACAATTTCATAAGATTCTAAAATTCTGTTAATCTTTGAAACAAAGGCTACAAAATACTTTCAATATATATAACATATATTGTTAAATATAACAGTCAACGAATGTTTGTTATGTTTGATCGTGAGCCATACTAAGCTTCGTATAGTGACTTTAGTTTCGGGAGAAAATAAAGACAAAAACTGTCCAACATTTAGATAATTCTTTGTTATGCTGTTCCTTGATCTCAGCTTTCGACTCACTTGAGCCATCATCAGAGTGATTATATGCACATTAAAACAGAGATGTTCACCATGAAAGATGATGTCCTGTTATGTTTACGTAACGGTAGAGGAATAGCAGACACAGGTTGTAAATTCGTAATGTAGTTCTATGACGTCGAGTGGAAACAATACAAACTAAGCTTCGTCTAGACATGATTATTTACTCTGAAAAGACCAAGCACATCATAATGTTGGAATTAAGAGGAAAATGTGATAATTTTTTGTATCTTGTCCTTTTTCTTGGCCGGATGATTAACATGAATGAAAATAGGGATAAGTGTAAGCAGAATGTGATGACAGTCTTTGGTGTGTGCGTGTGTGTTGCGGTATTGATATGTATGTGCGTGTGTTTATGTGTGGAGGAAATTAGATCAAGTAAAATAGTGACTTTAGGTCAACAGGGGACCTCGACAAGATGGGGAAACCTAAAAAAATGGAAGATTACCTGGACAGATCTCTGGTACACAAATCCCAGGAATACAAGCTTCCTTGTGCAGGCAGTGTATGATACACTGCCTAGCCCGGTAAACCTCGACACGTGCGGAAAGAGTGAGTCTCCACTTTGCCCATTGTCCCAGAATAGAGGATCCCTCCAAAACTTATTGAGCGGGTGTCCTAAGGCACTTAGGGAGGGGAGATACTGGTGGCGCCATAATAAAGTTTTAGGAGTCCTTGCGACAATAGTGTCAAGGAATCTAAAACAAAACATATGTACCAAATAAAAAGCCAATGAAAAAGTCAGGGGTGCAGATGAAGAAAACATCCCTCCTCAGCTCTGCCTCGAACTAGCAATTGAGAGTAGATATAGACAATATATAGGCTTAAATTTCCAGTGGAAACAATACAAACTAAGCTTTGTCTAGACATGGTTATTTACTCTGAAAAGACCAAGTACATCGTCATATATAAACATATATAAATATATATATATATATATATATATATATATATATAAACATACATACATATATATATATATATAAACATACATACATATATATATATATATATAAACATACATACATATATATATATATATAAACATACATACATATATATATATATATAAACATACATATATATATATATATATAAACATACATACATATATATATATATATAAATATACATACATATATATATATATATAAACATACATACATATATATATATATATATAAATATACATATACATATATATATATATATAAACATACATACATATATATATATATATAAACATACATATATATATATATATATAAATATACATACATATATATATATATAAACATACATACATATATATATATATAACATACATATATATATATATATAAACATACATATATATATATATAAACATACATACATATATATATATAAACATACATACATATATATATATATATATATATATATATATATATAAAACATATATATATATATATATATAAAATATATATATAAAATATATATTATATATATAAAAAATATATATTATATATATATATACACACAATGTGTGCTTATGTGTAAAATTAAAGTGATCTAGATATATTTATCTCTTTAGATGTCTGCTCTGTTTATCTAGATCAATCCACTCATATTTCTCTATCTACCTAGATATTAAGTTCATGAACAATTTCATAAGATTCTAAAATTCTGTTAATCTTTGAAACAAAGGCTACAAAATATAACTTTTTGCTTTCATGCTTTTGTATAAAATTGTATGTGTTTGCA